AGTGGGCTTGACCCGAGCATCCATTGTGGAGGCAGTCCAAACCTCTCCGACAGAGGCTCCAGCGAACGGCCCGGTGGACCCTCGGATCAAGTCCGAGGGTGACAGGGGACTGTGGCAAGGCAGGGGCATGCGTCTGACTGGCGAGCGGCGCCCGGACCTCAACACCGACCGGGAACGGATCGGGGTGGTGAGCCGTATATTTTCCGGGACGCCACTGTCAAGGCGGCGGGCGTTCAAACATATTTGATTCAGCGCCGTCCGGGCGCCGGCCCTAGGCTGGCTCCGCCCGGCGGCCTCTCTGCCTGCGCCGCCTGGCCAACTGGGATTTATGGACGATGCGCCGGACAATGCGGATGACCAACAGCGCCGATCGCTACGGGGCCGTTGCGCAGATCCTGCACTGGGTGACGGTGGCCCTCTTCATTGCGATCTTCGCGCTGGCCTGGATCCAGGACGGTATGACGCTCTCGCCGGAGAAGGTGCAGATCATCAACCTGCACAAGTCGGTGGGCGTGACCATCCTGGCGCTGGCGGTGCTGCGGCTGGCCTGGCGCTGGTACTCGCCGCCGCCGAGCCTGCCGGAAGGCATGGCGGGCTGGGAGCGCCGCGCCGCCCATGCCAGCCATGTCGCGCTCTATGTCGTGCTGCTGGCCCAGCCGCTCATCGGCATTCTGCATTCGGCGGCGGCCAACTTTCCGGTGGTGGTCTTCGGCCTCTTCACCCTGCCCGCGCTGATCGGCCCCAGCGAGGAGGTGAAGCAGGTGCTGGAAAGCGCCCACCACCTGCTGGCCCGGGTGATCCTGGCGCTGCTGGCCATCCACATCCTGGCCGCCCTGCGCCACCACTTCGTGGTGAAGGACGACGTGCTGACCCGCATGCTGCCGCTTGCCGGGCCGAGCGCCGGGCCGAGCGCCGGTCCGGGCGCCGGGCCGGGTGCCGGGCGATGAGGCGGGTCCTGCCGGCCCTTGCACCCGCCCTGGCCGCAGCCTGCGCGCTCTGGAGCGCTGCAGCGGTGGCCAACGATGTCCCGCTCTGGACAGTCGGGGAGGACAGCCGCGTCGGCTTCGTCGCCACCCAGTCCGGCGCGCCCGTGGAAGGCGCCTTCGAGGCCTTCACCGCGGAGATCGCCTTCGACCCCGACAACCTGGCCGCCAGCCGGGTCGCCGTTGTCATCGACATCGCCAGCGTCAACAGCGAAAGCAAGGACCGCGACGACACCATCCGCTCCGCCGCGCTCTTCGATGTGGCCCAGTGGCCCGAGGCGCGCTTCATGGCCGAAGGCTTCACCGCGCTCGGCGGCGACCGCTTCGAGGCGGCGGGCAATCTCACCATGCGCGATGTCACCCTGCCGGTGGTGCTGCCGTTCACCCTCACCATTACCGAAGAAGCCGGCGTTCGGCGCGCCCGGGCCAGCGGCGAACTGGAGGTCAGCCGTCTGGACTACGGCGTCGGCCAGGGCCTCTGGGCCGACACCTCGGTGGTGGGGGAGGCGGTGGTCATCCGCATCGACATCGCGGCCAGCCGGGCCGGGTCATAGCTTTGGGCCCTAGTGCCGCTCTTGCCAACCTTCACGACGACACCACGGGAGAACCCTCATGCCGCTCTTGACGATCCTGAAAATCCGCCGCTTCGGCCTCGCCTTTGCCGCCGCACTTCTGGCGCTGCCGCTTGGGTTCACCTCCATCCAGGGCGCCCAGGCCGCCCAGACCTACACCCTCGATTCCGCTCATGCCGATGTGATCTTCCTGGTCGACCACCTTGGTTACTCCGCCACCGTTGGCCGCATCGGCGACGTGCAGGGCAGCATCACCTTCGATGAAGCCGCGGTCGAGAACTCCGCGGTGGAGATCGTGATGCAGGCCGCCAGCCTCGACACAAACCACACCAAGCGCGACGAGCACCTGCGCAGCGCCGAGTTCTTCAACGTCGAGCAGTTCCCGACCATCACCTTCACCAGCACCGGGATCGCCAAGACCGGCGACAACACCGGCACCTTGACCGGCGATCTGACCCTGCTAGGGGTGACCAGGCCGGTTACCCTGGACGTCACCTTCAACTTGAAGTCGCCACACCCGATCTATCAGGGCAAGGAGACGGTGGGTTTCTCCGCCCGCGGCAGCCTGAAGCGCACCGACTTTGGCATGGCTGCTTATGCTCCGGCCGTCGGCGACGAGGTGGACCTGATCATCGAGGTCGAGGCCATCGAGCCCTAGATCTGCGGGGATAATCAGGGTTAACGCGGGGTGGGAAGGGCGTAGACTGCCCATGCACCCCGCTTGCCCCGGTTGACATTTGCGCCCCGATCCCGTCTCATCGGGGCGTTATGGACAGTTTCCGCCTGAACGGCATCGCCATTCGAATTACGGACCCGGCACCCAGAGGGTAGCCGGGACAAGCCGTTTCGACGTTTCGCGATCACCGTTTCAGGGGACAGACAATGTCCGCTTCCATGCATTCCGTTTACGCGCCGGCCGCCCTGCGGCCCGCTGCTTCCCGTTCTGACCTCAGTACTCAGACGCCCTCTGGGGCGCCCCCTAAGGCGCCCTCTGCGGCGCCGGTCTATTGCTTTTCCATCCTGGCCGCGGCGGAGCCGGGGGTGATGCCCCGGGTCCTGGAGCTCTTCGCCAAGCGCGGCCTGGTGCCGACCCGCTGGCACAGCGACGTGACGGGGCCGAAGGGCCGCGACCTTGCCATCGACATCCAGGTCGACGGCCTGGACGTGCAGACCGGCGACTACATCGCGCGCTGCCTGCGCCAGGTTTTCGAGGTGGACACGGTACTGACCTCGCAAAAGCACGTGGGTCAGCAGTCTGTGGGCGCGCGTTAGCGCGCCGGGCTGATGACGGCGGCCCCGCCGCCCGCAGGCGCACCGTCTGCATTTTCTCGACCTGCCCGACGACCTCTGCAAGGCGCGCCTGCGGCAGCGAAATGCGGACGGCGGGCATGCCTTCTCGCCCTGCGAAGCGGACTACGACCACTTCACCCGCCCGTTCCAGGCCCCGGGCGCGGAGGAGGGCGTCGACCTGGTCGTCCACCTTGCGCCGTAACGGGCGTAGGCCTATGACCGGACCGCCCTACCTTCCGGTCGCCAAACTTCCGGTCTAAAGGCGGCCCTGCTATCCTGTTTGTTCGGCGGGGATCTGGCTGGGACATCCCGCTGCAATGCGCCGGCGCGAAGAACCAAGAAAAAGCCGGCATGACAGGAGGCGGATCATGAGAACTCTGTTCGTAGTCTGTGCGGTTGCACTCATCGGAGCTGTGGGGGGCGCCGTTGGGGACGCGGTGGCCGACACCACCGACGTCAAGTGGCAAAACCGGGTGGTGGTCGACAAGCAGGGCGCGCACTGCGTCGACGACCCGAACTGCTTCAACCGCTACCACCCGGACATCCCCGCGGTGGTCCGCGCCAACCCCGGTGACATGATCATCTACCACACGCGCGATGCGCTGGATTCCGATCTCACGCTCGACTCCAATGCCGACGATCTGGCCGCGCTGGACCTCAATCTCGTCCATCCCATGACCGGACCGGTGCACATCGAGGGCGCCGAGCGCGGCGACGTGATCGCCGTCACCCTGGTCGACATCGAACCGGACGAATACGGCTACACCGTCATCGTGCCCGGCTTCGGCTTCCTGCGCGACATCTACACCGAGCCCTATCTGGTGAACTGGAAACTGAGCCGCACCCACGCCGTCTCCGACCAGATGCCCGGCATCAAGGTGCCCTACGAGGCCTTCATGGGATCGGTCGGCGTGATGCCCGGCCAGCCGGAGGTCGAGACCTGGCTGGAGCGCGAAAGGCTGCTCGCCGAGGCCGGCGGCGTCGCCCTGCCGCCGCAGCCCATCGGGGCTCTGCCCTCGGCAGTCTGCGGACCCGAAGGCCCGGCGCGCGATCAGTGCCTGCGCACCGTTCCGCCGCGCGAGAACGGCGGCAACATGGACGTGCAGCAGATGCAGGTCGGCACCACCCTGCTGCTGCCCTGCTTCGTCGATGGCTGCGGGCTCTTCGTCGGCGATGTGCACTTTGCCCAGGGCGACGGCGAGGTGTCCGGCACGGCGATCGAAACCGGCGCCGTGGTGACGCTGACGGTGGACATCCGCAAGGGCCAGGGCGCGGTCATCACGGGGCCCGAAGTCGAAGGCGGCACGCAGATCAAGGACATCGAGCCCTCCAAGTTCTACCAGACCATCGGCCTGCCGCTGAAGGCCGCGGGCGAGGTCCCGCCGCCGCACACCTATCTGGACAGCGAGAAGATCGCCAACCTCACCAACCTTTCCGAGGACCTGACGTTGGCGGCCCGCGACGCGCTGATCAAGATGATCGCCTACATTCAGCGCGAGCACGGCCTGACGGCGGAGCAGGCCTACATCCTGGCCAGCGTTGCGGTCGACCTGCGGATCGGGCAGGTGGTCGACGTGCCGAACTATGTCGTCACCGCCGTGCTGAACGAGGACGTCTTCGAAGAGTGATCGCGAGCCGCACCCGCCGCAAAGCGCTCGGCCTCGGCCTGCGGGCCGCCGCCGGGGCGGCGGCGGCCGTGCTGCTGGCCGGCCACACGCCCTATGGGCAGTGGGTGGTCTACCGCAAGAAGCACCTGCTGATCGGCTGCCACAGGGCCGATCCCACGACCTACGATCTGGCCAAGCGGGTGGTGGGGCTGCTGGACGAACACCTTCCGGCGGCGAAGTCGCGGGTCGCGCGTGCGCCCAACGCCGGGCGCCTGGCCAGCCTGCTGGCGACGGCGCAGATGGACGTGGCAACCCTGGGCCCGGACGACGCCACGGCCATGCTGGCCGGCAGCAACGGCTTTGCCGCCTACGGGCCCGTCGCCCTTCGCCTGTTGCTGCCGCTGGAGGAGCGGCTTCTGGTCGCCCGGGCCGAGTTTCCCGAACGGCATGCCTGGCTGGTGGCCTCCGCCCTGGTCGGAACGGAACTGGTCCCCGCCGGCCAGGGCGCCGACGACCTGGGCGTGCCGTGGCATCCCGGCGCCCGCGCCTTCCTGGAAGGCCGTGACGAGCCGGGCAAAGACTAGGGTCAGTCACACCGTCGGGAACTTGCGGCGGTAGTGGTAGCGGTAGAGCTCCGTCGTGAAGCCGAGGGAGCGGTAAAGCGCAAGGGCCGCGGGATTGTCGGCCACCACCTGCAGGCAGGCGGCCCCGGCCCCCGCAGTTACAGCCCAGTTCAGGACCGCGCCGACGGTCTGGCGGCCAAAGCCGCGCTGGCGCCAGCGGGAATCGGTCACGACCGCTTCGACCACGGCCAGGCCGTCGTGCACTACGCCATAGGCCAGGGCGACCACCGCCCCTTCGTGGCGGGTGGCGGCGAAGATGCGCGGCAGCATGATGGTGCGGACCATCGTTTCGAAGACCGCGCTGTCGGCCGTATCGGCGGGGCTCAGGGCTGCGCGGGCCTGCAGCCAGTCGCCGTCGGCCTCCGCGGTCAGGCGCGTCGCCGCGCTTTGCGGCTGCGGCCATGCGGAGAGGCCGTTGAAGAGGGTCAGGGTCTCGCCCTCCGCCGTGTAGCCGCCGGCGGCCAGCGGCCCGTCCATCGCTGCCGCGATGGAGGGGACGCGAAACAGCGCCGCTTGATCGAGCGCGGCGTAGGTGGCTTCGGCAGCAGCCAGGATCGCGGCCGGATCGCGCGGGCCGCCGCGCAGAGGGTTCACCGAATTGGTCCGCCGGGTGGAACCGCCGGCGGCGCGCAGCAGCCAGCCGCTCAAAAGCATCTGCCGCGGCGAAGGCCAGGCGCTCATGCAGGCTTCTTCCGCACGCCAGTTCAGATCCATGCTTGTCACGAGGATGCCACCGTTGGGGGTCGATGAGGACGGTCGGGCGAAAGAAACGCGACTGCGCGCCCTCCGCCAGTGCTTAGCCTCTTGTCTGCGGGAAATCGAGCCGAAAGTCTCCTCAAGCCCGCCGCTGTCGCCTAATGTAGTGCCGGGACTGCCAGCCGGAGGTGGCCGTGCCACTTGTACGCCAGCCACGTGACGTTTTGAGGCCCTTCGTCCAGCAGCTCTGGGCATCGGATCCTTCCGGCGCGCCCTCCGGCAGCGGTCGCGAGGCGGTGCTGCCCTCCGTGTCCACCCAGCTGGTCATTCGTCTGGGAGAACAGCCGCTGCGGATCTTCCGCCATCGTGACGACCTCGAAGGATACACCGTGAGTACGGCGGTGATCGGCGGCCCCCGCCTGGCGCCCTACGTGAAAGACGTCTCCCGGCCCGTCCCGACAGTCGGGGCTGCGCTGCGGCCGGGCGCGGCCGGGCTTCTGATCGGCGCGTCCGCCGGCACCTTCGTAGGCCGGCACCTGCCGCTGGAGGATGTCTGGGGCGCGGCGCCGGTGGCCGCCCTGCGCGCGGCGCTGTGGGAGGCCGGATCGGCGGCGCAGCGGCTCGCCATCTTCGAAGCCGCCCTCGTTGCGCGGCTGCCGAAGGTTACGGGACTCGATCCGCTGATCGCCCAGGCGCTGGCCGGGTTTGACGCCGGGGCGCCGGTCGGCGCCGTTGCGGCGGCGAGCGGGTACAGCCATCGGGCCTTTACCAAGCGCTTTGCGGAAGCCGTCGGGTTGAAGCCGAAGACCTATGCCAGGCTGCTGCGCTTCGGGCGTGCCCTGGGGCCCCTGGCAGAGGGCGCCAACTCGGCGGCGGCGTCATCCCTGGCGGATCTGGCGGCCTGGCAGGGCTATGCCGACCAGGCCCACTTCGCCCGCGAGTTCCGTCACTTCTCCGGTCTGACGCCCGGCGGCTATCGCCGTCTGGCGCCGCCCTTCGCCCGCCATGTCGCGCTCTGACGGCAGATCGGCATCAGGGTCAAAAACCTTCAAGACGCCGAGACGGCGTTGATGGACACTCAAGCCTGACGACCAAGGTCCGAAAATGGGAGGGACGTCATCATGGCGATCCACGAACTCTTCGCTTACCTGCGCCCGAAGTCGGCGGGGGAGGCGATCGAATTCTACAAGACCGTCTTTGGCGCGACCGAGAAGTTCCGCCTCTCCGACCGGGACGGGCGCGTCGGCCATGCGCAGCTTCTGCTCGGGGGGACGACCCTGATGCTGTCTGACGCCTATCCGGAGTTCGGCATCCATGCCCAGGAGCACGATGATGGTCCGATCTCCTTCGTCATCCACCTCCATGTGGATGATGCCGACGCCTTGATCGAGCGCGCCGTGGCGGCAGGCGCGCAACTGCTGCGTCCGCCGCAGGATCACTTCTACGGCGAACGCTCCGGCACCGTGCGCGATCCCTTCGGCTACGACTGGCTGATCGGTCATTCCATCGAGACCCTCGAACCGGAAGAGATCCAGCGCCGCTTCGATGCCATGTTCACGGGCCAGGACTGAACGCCGTTGTCAGCGCATGGCCTGCAGCCTGGCCATGGCGGCGATGCCGAAGGCGGGGCCGAGGGCGAGGCCGAAGAGCACGGTGGACCAGCCGAAGGTCTCCGCCAGCACCGGCGTCACCTGCACGGTGACGAAGGTGAGGGCGAAGCCGAGCGCGGTCTGGAAGGTCATCAGGCTGCCGGCCTGGGCCGGAGGTGCCGCATCGGCAACCAGGGCGGAGAACTGTGCGGAATCCGGAATGATGCTGATGCCCCAGACGATGACGATGGCGAAGGTCAGCCAGACCGGGCCGCCGAAGGTCGCCGCCGTGCCGATGGCCGCCGCGCCGCTGACGATCATGGCCAGCATGGCGACCCGCGCCTTGCCGATGCGGTCGGCGGCGAAGCCGGCGGGGACGCAGGCGATGGCACCGGCGCCGATGGCGAGGAAGGCGGTGAGCTTGGCGAGTTGCTCGGCATCGTCGGCCGGCAGGGTGGCGCCGTAAGACACCGCGGTCGCCGCGGCGACCCAGGCCCACATGGCGTAGAGCTCCCACATATGGCCGAGGTAGCCGGCGTAAGCCAGGCGGACCCGGCGGTTGGTCCAGGCGGTGACGATGACGCTCGGATCGAAGCGCTGGGCCGTGCGGTGGTAGGGGCCGAGGCCGACACCCAGGCTGAGGAGCCCGGCGAAGAGTGACGCGAGGGAGGCGGCGGCGACGGTCAGGCGCCAGTCGGCGCCGCCGCCGAAGGCGATGAGGTAAGGCGAGGCCGAGCCCAGCGCCAGGGCCCCCACCAGCGCGCCGACCAGGAAGCCGCGGTCGCGCTCGCCCCAGCCGACGGCGATCTTCATGCCCACAGGATAGACCCCGGCCAGCAGGGCGCCGGTGGCAAAGCGTGCGGCGATGGCGGTCAGGCTGCCGGGCGCCACCACCAACAGCAGGGCGTTCACTCCGCCGGCTGCGATGGCCGAGGCGGCGAGCACCCGGCGCGGGTCGTAGCGGTCGGGAATGTTGAGGATGGCGGAGATCAGGGAGCCGACGACGAAGCCGCCCTGTACGCCGCTCGACAGCGCCGCCTGGCGGAAGGGCGAGACCGCCGCCTCGCGCAGCATGTCCGGCAGCACGGCGGCGGAGACGAACCACAGCGACATGGCGGCCAGTTCGGCGAGCAGCAGCAGGGTGAGGGAACGCAGTTTCATGGCCGGACCATCTCTAATGTCCCGGCGGCGCCCCGTCGACTAAATGGTTGGGGCCGCGCTGAAGGCCCGGCGTCGGCTAACCCGGTTTGTGGCTCTTCAGCGCTTCAGCGACGGCCTGGTAGAGTGCCGGGTCTTCGTCGGCGGCACTGGCGCGGTAGTCGACGCCGGTTTCCAGATGGGCGCCCCGGTCGGCCCGCTCCAGCATGCCCGGCCGGCCGATCAGTTCGCCGACGCAGTGACGCAGGGCCGCGACCGGCGGCTCGCTCGTTTCGCCGAAGAGGTCCTGCCAGACCATGCGCACGTAAAGTGCACAGTGATGGGCCAGCAATGCCTGCTCGCGCGTGGTGCAGGCGGAGGCCAGGTCTTCCAGCCCCCATCCCTTCAAGCGCTCCAGTTGGAAGGGCGCGGCGCTGCCCGGTTCGCCGATTTTCGGCAAGTCACTCAGATCCATCTGCTCGCTCCTCCTCTGCTCGTTCTCATAAGCGGGTGTCCCGTCAATCCGGGGTCAGTTCCGGCAGCACGCGGTGCAGGAACTGGACCGAGATCGACCCTTCGCCGACTGCCGAGGCGACGCGCTTCACCGATCCGGCGCGCGCATCGCCGACGGCGAAGACGCCCGGCTGGCTGGTCTCCAGGATATTGGGCTCGCGCTCCAGTGGCCAGTCGCCGCCGGTGTCCGGACCGGTGCAGACAAAGCCCTTGTCGTCCAGACGCACGCAGCTTTGCAGCCAGTCCGTGTTGGGGCTGGCGCCGATCATCAGGAAGAGGTTGGAGACTCTGTGTGTCTCCTCGCTGCCGTCAAGGGTGTTGCGCCAGGTCACCCGCTCCAGATAGCGCGCGCCCTCCAGCCTGGTGATCTGGGTGTTGCGGTGGAGGGTGATGCGCGGGGAGGCATCGATGCGCCCGACCAGATAATCCGACATGCTGGCCGCCAGGCTGTCGCTGCGGATCAGCATATGCACATGGGCGGCGTAGCGTGACAGGAAGACCGCTGCCTGTCCCGCCGAGTTTCCGCCGCCGACCACGACCACCTCTTCATCCCGGCAGAGATCGGCCTCCAGCGCCGTAGCGGCATAGTGGACGCCCGCGCCCTCGTAGTCGGCGAGGTTGTCCAGGTCGAGGCGGCGATAGGTGGCGCCGGAGGCGACCACCACGCTCCAGCAGCGGAAGGTGCCGCCGTCCTCCATACGCAGGCTGTAGGGCCGTTCGCTGCAGTCGAGGGACACGACCCGGCGCGGCAGGGAGATGACTGCGCCGAACTTCTGCGCCTGCACCTGCGCCCGCGCGGCCAGGGCCTGTCCGGAAATGCCGGTGGGGAAACCGAGGAAGTTCTCGATCTTGGAGCTGGTGCCGGCCTGTCCGCCCGGCGCCTCGCCCTCCAGCACCAGGGTGTTCAATCCCTCCGAGGCGGCATAGACCGCCGCGGCCAGGCCCGAGGGTCCGGCACCGACCACCACGACGTCGCAGGGGTTGGTGCCGTCCGGTTCCTCAAACAGACCCAGGCGTTTGGAGAGGTCCAGGTTCGAGGGATTGTGCTGCCTGTCTTCGCCGGCACTGAACACCATGGGCAACTGTCCGGGGTCGCAGCCGTGCTCCTTCAGCAGGGCCTGGGCCTCGCCATCCTCGTCCACATCCAGCACCCGGTGCGGATAGCCGTTGCGGCGTAGAAAGCGGGCGATGCGCAGAGTATCGCGCTCGCGCCGGTGGCCGACGACGGTGGCGCCGCCCTGGGTTTCCTGGATCAGCCCGACGCGCCGCAGGATGAGGGCGCGGGTGATGATCTCGCCGATGTCCGGCTCCGCCGTCAGCAAGCGGCGCAGAGCCGTGCGGTTGAGGCGCAGCACCTCGCCGTCCTCCCCCATGCGCCCGCCGACCAGGATCTTGCGGCCGTTGAAGAGGTCCAGTTCGCCGGTGAAGTTGTGGGTCCCGTGGACGGTGATCACCGCTTCGCCGTCGCTCAGCGGATCGATGATCTCGATGCAGCCTTTGAGGATGATGAAGCAGTCGACGCTGCGGTCGCCGCGGGAAAACAGCACCGTGCCCTTGGCCAGGGACTCGCGGATGCCGAAGGGCAGGGCGCGGTCGATCTGTTCCTGATTGAGGGTGGGAAAGATCTGGGCCCGGCGGGTGTAGGCGCTGGTCTGGTTGCCGGCGGGCTCGAGGGTGGACGTTTCGACCATCGTAAGCTTCGTGTCTCCTGTTTTGCGCCCAGGATAACCGCCAGAGCGATCACCAGAACAATCGATTGTGCTGCTCGGAACGAGTCCGATGTCGCTTATGCAAATCGAACCGTCATTGCGGGCGCGTCCCCTGTTTCCCCGTGCATGTGGCGTTGCGACGCTTGCCCTGCAAACTCTTTAGCGCATGCTGTTGGACGGCCGGGCCGCCCTTTCAGACGTGTGTCCAAAGGACGCGGCCTCGCAAAGGGCATGGTCTCCAGCAACGCCGATGCTAGGTTCAGGTCATGAGCACCCTGGCCGTACCGTGAGCTACCTCGACCGCATTCGTGCCTGCCACCGCTGGAACCCCGCCGACTATCTGCCGTTTCTGGTGGATGGCGTTGCGCTGGGCGCGGTGGACCCTGCTTTCCGCGAGCGTCTGACGGCGTTCCCGGAGGTCTTCACGGCCGCTGCCGGCCACCTGGCGCTGGTGCCGGCGCTGGACAGTTTCGATGCCCGCAGCGCCGCTTTGGCTGAGGTGACGGCAGCGCTGCGCGCCGAGGGCGCCTTTCCCAACTGGCGGGGGGAGGACTATCCCGTTGCCCTTGCCTGGGGCAGGCCGCCGCTGTTTCGCATGGAGCGGGCGGCGGTGCCGCGCTTCGGCCTGCCGGCCTACGGCGTCCACGTGAACGGGTTTCTGCGCGGACCCGAAGGCCTGGAGATGTGGATCGGCAAGCGCGCCCGCACAAAGCAGACCGCGCCCGGCAAGCTCGATCACATCACCGCCGGCGGCCAACCCTACGGCCTGGGCCTGACGGAGAACGTCATCAAGGAGTGCGCGGAGGAGGCGGGCATCCCCGCCGAGCTCGCCGCCACGGCGGTTCCGGTCGGCGCGGTGCGCTATCGCTGCACCAGGCCCGAAGGGCTGCGCAACGACGTGGCGTTCTGTTTCGATCTGGAACTGCCCTCCGACTTCCGGCCCGAGAACACCGACGGCGAGGTCGAGTCCTTTGAGCGCTGGCCCGTGGCCCGCGTATTGGAGCGCCTGCGCGACACCACCGACTTCAAGTTCAATGTCGCGCTCGTGATCCTCCACTTCGCCGTCCGCCATGGGGTGCTGTCGCCGGACAGCGAGCCCGAATACCAGGCCATTGTCGAGGGCCTGGCCGGCCGCCTTTCGGAGTAGCGGCCTTCGCTGCCCATCCGCTGTCGCCCGCTGGCTTGAGCTACGGCTAACCGCCTCGTTGTGCCGGCGGGGTAATCAATCAGATATCGAGCTTGCGGCTCACCCCCCTCCCGACCTCCCCCCATCAAGGGGGGAGGGGACGCATTCTCGGCCACCGCAAGAGGTTCCCCCTCGCCCTTGGATGGGGGAGGGATGGGGTGAGGGTGACACCCGTTCCGCTGAAAGCCCTCCGTCTCTGCATTTTCGGTCTCCCTTCCCGAAGTCCCGGACTTCGATGAGGTCCTCGAAACCGCAGTGGGCAAGCGATTTCGGCAAGTGGTGAAAAGTCAAACCGGACAGCCGCGGGGCAAGCCCGGGCTGGGCCCTTTGGGGGGATCAGCCGCGCGAGTCGGCGAGGATCATGTCGCTGGCCTTCTCGGCGATCATGATGGTGGGCGCGTTGGTGTTGCCGGAGACGATCGCCGGCATGATCGAGGCATCGACCACCCGCAGGCCCTGAAGCCCATGGACCGCGAGCCGCTCGTCGACCACGGCCCCAGGGTCGCGGCCCATCTTGCAGGTGCCCACCGGGTGATAGATGGTCTGGCTGATGTTGCGCGCGGCCTCCAGAAGGTCCTCGTCACTGACGACCTCCGGTCCCGGCAGCAGTTCCTTCTCGATCAGCGGTGCCAGTACCTTTGTGGCCGCAAAGCGCCGTGACATCTTCATCCCTGCAACCGTCACCGCCTGGTCCTTGGCTGTGTTCAGATAGTTGGGATGGATGGCCGGGTGCTCTGCCGCGTCGGGGCTGCGCAGGGCGATGCGGCCTTTGCTCTCCGGGCGCAGCTGGCAGGTGGAGGAGGTGAAGGCGGAAAACTTGTGCAGGCCTTCGCCCGGTTTGTCGGCGCTCAGGGGCTGCAGATGGAACTGGATGTCCGGCGTCGCCGCTTCCTCGGAGCTGCGCGCAAAGACGCAGACCTGGCTGGCTCCCATGGTCAGCGGCCCGCTGCGCTTCAGCAGGTACTCCAGGCCCATCAGCGCCTTTTTCGCCGGGTTGCGCACCTGGTCGTTCATGGTGATTGGCCGTTTGGTCTGGAAGACCATACGCACCTGCAGATGGTCCTGCAGGTTTCCGCCGACGCCCGGCAGGTCGTGGACCAGGGGAATCGAGAAATCCTGCAGATGGCCGCCGGGCCCGATGCCGGAGAGCATGAGGATCTGCGGTGAACCGATGGCCCCGGCGGCGAGCACGATCTCGCCGCGGCAGCTTGCCTGGAAAGCCTCACCCTTGCGGCGGTAGGCGACGGCCGCGGCGCGCCGTCCGTCGAAGACCAGCCGCTCCACCTGGGCATGGGTGACGACCTCCAGGTTGGCGCGGTGGCGCACCGGGTGAAGGTAGCCCACTGCCGTGCTGCAGCGCCGCCCGTTGCGCGCGGTGAGCTGGAAGTAGCCGGCGCCTTCCTGCTCGGCGCCGTTGAAGTCGTCGCTGGCCGGAATGCCCAGCTCGACGGCGGCCTCGATGAAACGGTCGCAGAGCTCGCGGCGGATGCGCATGTTGGAGACCGCCAGGGGGCCGCCGGCGCCGTGATAGTCGTCGGCGCCGCGCTCCTGATCCTCGGAGCGTTTGAAGTAAGGCAGCACGTCGTCATAGGACCAGCCGGCGTTACCGAGCTGGCGCCAGTGGTCGTAGTCCTCCTTCTGGCCGCGCACGTAGAGCAGGCCGTTGATGGAGGAGGAGCCGCCCAGCACCTTGCCGCGCGGCCAGTCCAGACTGCGCCCGTTCAGCCCCTCGTCCGCTTCGGTGCGGTAACACCAGTCGGTGTTCGGGTTGTGCATGGTTTTGAAGTAGCCGACCGGAACATGGATCCAGGGGTTCCAGTCGCGCCCGCCGGCCTCCAGCAGAAGCACCCGCTTGTCCGGGTCCGCCGAGAGCCGGTTGGCCAGCACGCAACCGGCGGAGCCGGCGCCGACGATGATGTAGTCATAAGCCGCCGGGTCGTGTGCCAGGAGCGCGCCCTCGGCGCGGGCATCCGCCTTTGCCTGCTGCCGCTCCGAGTGGTTTCCCGGCTTCACCGGCTGGTTGCTCCCATTTGACACAATAACTTTCGTACCCGGCGATGCTCATTGGGGTACGAATATTACATATCGCTTGCCTTCCGCACATGCAATCGCAATAATGAGACTATAAGTCTCGTTAAATGAGAAACTCCGCTACCAAACTGCGGCCCAGGGCCAAGCCCTCGGGGAATGGGAGGAACCATGCTTAGCGATAAACTGAAACACGTATCGCGCCGCGATTTGCTGCGCCTGACAAAGCAGTACGGCATCACGTCGACCCTCTTGGCGGCCGGTTCCCTGACCGGGTTCGTCACGACCACCCGCCTGGCCGAGGCCGCCAACTCGACCTATGAAAAGCGGTTCAAGACCGAACCGAAGTTCACCCTGAAGTTCGGTGCGGCCGGCTTCAACGAGCGCAACCTTCTGATCGAGCGGGCCGGTTGCCTGCAGTTCGTGAACGACATCGAAGAGCGCACCGACGGCGCCATCCGTATCGAGTTCATCGGCAACAACCAGATCTGCGGCCAGCTCAACTGCGTGAAGAAGACGCAGCAGGGCATCATCGACATGTACGCCGCTTCCACGCAGAACTCGGCCGGCGGCGCGCCCTATCTGAACGTGCTCGACTACGCCTACATGTTCCCGAGCCGGGCGGCGCAGTACTACTTCCTCTACCATCCGGGCAGCGTGAAGGTGCTGCGCGAGCCGATGCGCAGGCGCCACAACGTGGAATTCCTGTTCAGCCACGCGGAGCTGCGCGGTATCCAGCTCGGTCTGAAGTGGCAGGACAAGCCGCTGGTGACCAGCGTCACCGAGCTGGCCGGCACCAAGAACCGCGTGACCGGCACCCAGCTCGGCCGCATCGCCATGAACCTGATGAACCTCAACCCGACGCCGATCGCCTGGGAGGAGACCCTGGACGGCCTGAAGCAGGGTCTGATCGACGGCGCCGAGACCTGGGCCTCCGCGGTGGCCTACGCCAACATGTCGCCCGTGGTCTCCCAGGTGATCAACCTGGAATTCTTCTGCGGTACCGAGCACACGGCGATGAGCACCAAGGTCTTCGACAGCCTCGGCGGCGAGCTGCAGGACGCGGTCATGGAGTCGGCCTATCTGACCCAGGTTCACGTCCAGGCGGCCAACGAGGCGGCCCTGGTCAACACCGTCGGTTACTCCGATCCGCAGATGCCCGGGACGATCTTCGCCCAGAATGGCACCCGCGTTTCCATGCTCGACGAGGCGGCGAAGCGCGAGGCCGAGGAGATGTGCTCGCCGGAATTCCACCCGGCGGAGTGGGAACAGTGGCGCGACCGTCTCAACGGCTGGGCCGAGGGGATGGACACCTACAAGTTCATCTACGACATCGCCCGCGAGATTCCCAAGGACACCCTCGCCGAGAACGTCGAACCGCGGCGCTGGTGGAAGGGCTGATCGCGAAACCTGCTGCGGGGAGGAGCCGGCCAAGGTCATCCTCCCCGCCGTTTCGCTCTTTGCTTGTGCTAGACTCCTGATCAGGCAGGCGGCAGCGGGGGGCTGTCGCGGGGGGATGCCGTGCTGCGGCCTGCCCGGTTGGGGACTTGGAACCTGGGGGCATGGCGGCCATGGCTGCACTTCGCTGGATCGACGAGAACGTCGAAAAGATCATCATCCTTGTTTGCTACGTGGCGATGGCGGGGATCATCTTCGTCGAGGTGATTCGCCGCTTCGTCTTCAACGAGCAGGTCGCCTGGAGCACCACGGTCCCGATCTATCTCTTTCTCTGGATCGTCTGGGTCGGCTGCGCCTACAACGTGAAGATCCGCGCCCATCTGCGCTTTGACGAACTGCGTCACCGGCTCTCGCGCGGCGGGCAGTTCGCCTGTCTCTGCCTGGACGGCGCCCTCTGGATCATCTTTTCCGTCATCGTCATCGTCTATTCGACCGAGCAGGTCTGGCTGTCCTACGACAACTTCGCCATCGTTCAGGGCACCGACAACGTCATGCAGTGGTGGTTCTACCTGGCGACACCCTTTGCCTGGGCGGTGCTGGTGATCCGGGTGCTGCAGAACTTCGCCCATGATCTCCGCGCCTACCTCAGCGGCGAGCCCCTGCAGATCAAAACCAACATCTTCGGGGACTAAGCCGGTGGATACGCTCTGGATCATTCTCATCTCCCTCGGCGTCACCGTGCTCTTCGTGCTGGGGGTGCCGATCTTCCTGGTCATCGGCTTCTGGGTGGTCGGCGTCAGCCTGGTGATCGACTTCACCCTCGCCAACATCGGCGTCACGCTCTACGAGGGCTTGAACTTCTTCGGCCTGCTGGCGCTGCCGCTGTTCATCATGACCGGCGATCTCATCAAGTCGGCGGGCATCGCCAAGCGGCTCTCCGACTTCGCCTATTCGATTCTCGGCTGGCTGCGCGGCGGCCTCGCCATGGCTTCGCTCGGCGCCTGCGGACTCTTCGCCGCGATCTCCGGCTCCAACTCGGCGACCACGGCGACCATCGGTTCCATCATGCATCCGGAGATGACCAAGGGCGGCTACGACCCCAACTTCGCCGCCGCCACGGCGGCGGCTGGCGGCACGGTCGGTATCATCATCCCGCCCAGCATCATCTTCATCGTCTACGGCTTCCTGATGAACCTCTCCATCAGCGACCTCTTCATCGGCGGTCTGCTGCCCGGCCTGCTGATGGTGGTCTCGATGCAGCTGGCCTGCTGGTACGTCTGTCAGCGCAACGGCTGGGGCCATCTGATCCAGCTTCGCCTCGGGCGCATCATCAAGACCGCGCTGGGGGCCTGGCTCGGCTTCTTCGCCATCCTGCTGGTGATCTGGGGCATCTATGCCGGCGCCTTTTCGCCCACCGAAGCGGCGGGGGTGACGGCCGGCTTCTGCCTTTTCGCCGGGCTTATCATGCGCCCCTTCTCGCGGCGCTTTCACGGGCCCGAGGCGGATGACAGCGGCGCCCTGCCCGACCATGCCGG